CTATTCTGCTCAGTTCCACATGAATCTATGATTGGTTGATCTGATTTTGATTTTGTTTTTTAATCTGCATGAATATTAAAAGATATTGAAATATATGTTTATATATAAAACGTATTCCTCCCTAAAAATACATGTTTCTAAATGTGCACTTATAAATGCAACGTCTTTTAACAATCCATTTTTATTTTATTGAGATTTTGATTCAAGAACTACAGTGGAACATTTGCAAAAAAACTGAATAACTTAACTTCTATTAGTCTGAGATGTACAGATCCAGGTCAGTTCATATCAGAATTCACAAAGAATTCCTGAAGCATCTGTACCTTTTAAAAAATTGGTGAGGTTTTAAAAAGATTTTTGACAAGATTGACAGCTCTTTGCTTTTTTAACTTGCCAAGCTCCTTTTCTCCCTTTCTGAGATGCTGAAATTTAGCAAGTAATCCCCACCCTGATGTAGTGATAAAGTGACAAGAGGCGATTTCACCTGCCAGTTTCTGCATGTCAAGACATTGTTCCAGGCCAGTCTTTGGGTTTGGTACTGTTGGGATCCTGCCAGGGGCCCCAGTCAAGCAGCGGGTTCACTGCTACTGATTTCAATACATCTTTGGCCCTGCTTCCCTCCTTGCTGTTTCTACTGGCCTCCTCCAAGCATACTAGGAAGGCAAGAGCAAGAAGGAATTTCAGCCCACCTGACCCACTTGCTTTGGGGCCAACCTTCTGGATAATGTTCAGCTTGGGCTGACAGAGAGGAAAAAGACATTCAAAGGGTTCAATGGCAAGGAATTGAGTTCATTCAGGGAGGAAGCCCTACCAAAGTGATTTTATCCACACACACCCTTAAGCTTTGCTGTGTAGGCTGATGGGTGGAAGCCAGGACTCAATTGTAGTGTTGCCTGGTCAGAGGTATCCCAGAACCAGAGATTTCAGGGCTTAAACCTGAGGCCTAGGAGAGGCCCCTGGTAATGTCATGGGAGAAGAACCCTGGAGATGGAGGTTAATTGCTGCATGCATAGTCAGAGAGAGAAAGAGAGAGAGAGCGCACACCTGGAAATTCAAGCCCTCCACTTCCCACCTGGAGGGGGCCAGGCTAACCTGGAGACTTCAGGTTAACCTGGAGGTCTGGCAACTCTAAGTAAGAGTGTACTAAACAATTCATGAACATGTGGTTTAGCCCCTTTTATTGCATACCTAGCATTGTACACTGCTCTGATAGTTTATGCAATGGCTATCCGGAAATACTTTTATAAATAAATTTAAAAAAGTAAACACCTTAAAAGGATTTGCCTGAAAAGATGTAAGCTGTTGGGTTGCACATGAGAAATACAGAGTTGTTTCTGCCTGGGGAAATGTAATATGTGAAAAGGGGTTTGCTTATAAATAATCTTATTTGTCTGGGGGGTTTTCTTCTTCTTTTTCGGGCCACCAAAAGTGCTTGCTCAGTTTGCTTATTACATGTTCCACTGATATATTTGAAAATAAGCAGATGCTGCAAAGCATCCACTATGTAGTATCTCAATCTGAAGAATCACCTACTCCCATATGGACATCCCTATTTATTAAAAACAACCACCAAGTTCTTGCTCCAATTTCCCCTATATTCTCAGATGGGTTGGCAACCAACAAATCTCAGAGGTGGGATGCCCAGGTTGCAGAACTCTCTTCTCAGACTTATTCATCAGGTTCCATCACTACGATCTATCAGACTTTCTCTGAAAACGTTTCTGTTTATTCAGGCTATGATGATTTTATGCTCTAATACATGCTGCTGTTTCACTCTGGCTGTTTCGTTGTTTTTAATGGCTCTGATTGTTTTATAATGTTGTTGTTTTAAACAGTATTGGAGGCCCCTTTGGGGACCAATCTTTGGTCGATCAGTGAGATAAAAACCTTTTAAATAAATGAATATATCTGCCTTTCTAACCATGCAAAACTGCCTTGGCACTTCCCACTGCTCAGAGAAGTGGAGCAGTATGAAACAATATTGTACTGAAGTTAACCTTATTTTTCAGAGTGTCATATCAAACAATTGGTTCTCTTATTTTGTTTAGTGATAACAATTTTGGGTCCCATTTCTCTGACCTCAAAATGTTTGCTAATTATTGCATTAGGCTCTCCTGGTAAGAGGCAGACACGTTTCATTCTCCGGATATAATAGCTTCAGTAAATTTCTAATTCAAGCTGTCAATATCCCTCTACAAAAAGCAAGGAAAATTGGTTTCCATGCTTGTGGAGAAACCTTGGTGATATGCAAAGAGGAGCAAGGAAATGGGTCAGACAATGTTTTATGGGAAAATAGCACTTTCTGTCTTATTATGGATACCAGAGGGCGGTGGAGGCAAAGAAGAGCCACTAGTGACCTTATTATATTTCTTTGAATCAGCATGAAGAGTGGCCACTTATGCATCTTCAAAGAAGATAAAATGCACGACTAAACAAAGAGACAAAAGAGTGAGAATATTTGTATAAAAATTGCATATGCTAATTTACATGCAAACATATTTTTAAATATAATATTTTCACTATTTACTGTTTAAACTACATAGTAAAATAGTCCATCTTACTATAGTGGGGGGAACTGTGATCAAGCAAGCAAGAGCCATAGCTCACTCATTGATCATCTGCCCTGGATGCATACCAAGTAAGCCACAGTAGTACTTCAACCTGGAATCCACAGGCTTCACACTGCCTTGTTGTGCATGCGGGGGAGCAAGGCTGAAATCTGACACACACACTCAGCCCTTGCGTTGCCTTGCAAAAGCTGGTTAAGTGAGGCACAGGGCTTTGGGATGAGGTGTGAGACCTAGAGCCATCCCACTCAGTGCAGGTGTTGTCACAGATGCTTTATCTTCCTGAACTTGGCTCATTCGAGTTCCTTCTTGTCCCTTTACCTTTTGTAGTTGTGGGGTGGCAGCAAGAGACACCCTCTGCCACCCACTGTACAGAACTCCCTGGAGTCTTACCTGATATTGCTTAGGGGTTTCATTCTCTACAGTTGCCTCAGTAGCAAGTCTGTACCTGTGACAGGTTTATTCTCTTCTCCACATGAGAGGTGTGTGACCAGGTGTGTGTTGTAAATCTTGTGCTTTTTAATGCATTTTGTATGTGACTACTAGTCATGCTTCCTACTTTTGCCTGACAGTCTTCCCTAGTTTTTCTTTGCCTCATACTTATTGCTCTATCCGCTCCTTCCTCTCCTTTTTGCCTTCTTGATTTAGGGTACCTCCAGACTTTAAATTTGCCTTCAGACTGTTGCTATTTTGCAGGAAAGATTCAAGTGCATACCAGAATTTAAGGTTTGCACCTTAATTTAAAGTAAATTAAAGTGCTCTGTTGCCCTAGTGCAACAATTTCACTTAAAGAACCACAACAGAAACCCAACTTTTGCATTTTGGAAAGTGACAAGTTAATGCATTGAAAAGTGTGGGATGAATGAATGAGTGATTAACAAGTGCTCAATAAAGACCAAACATAGTCTACCTTCTACTTAATCTCTGGGCAAGCCAATCAAAATGAAAACTCAATAAATAAATCATCTGGAGGAGCCCATAAACAATTCATCTACTGACCTTTAGCAACCTGATGATCGACCTCATTTGATCTGCTGTTGAGTACACAGGGGTCTCTTCTTTCCCTCTCTCAGAGGCACGACCGGAAGTTGATCACATTAGGTGGAGCTTTCATGCTACCTGTTATCACAATGCCAACAATACCTCCATTCTCCTACCTTAACATTGAACAGTATTTTTATTTCTTTGTCACTTTGCAAGGTTTTGTGCTGTCTTTCTTTGATTAAGTGAAGGTAAATCAAGAGGGAGAGAGCGGGATCAAAAAAGAAGGTATGCTCAAGCAAGAGGATCATGGGGTGTTGGGGGAGGGGAATGTTTCCTCTAGCAGAGTGTTTCAAATTTAGCCCAGATGTAAATTAATTAAAAGCTTTGCTTGGCCTCCTTGAGTGGACTGATGTGAATTCTCTTGCATCTTGCTTTCCAAAAGGGACTGTAGATATACAGTACCTATAGGTATAAGTGAAGGAATGAAGACTTGGTCCATTGGTTGCTGATATCAAAAGTGCCCTCAACCCTCCATGCCTATGAAACCTTGCTGTGTATTTCCCATTGAAATTCTAGAGACAATGATCAAATAATAATACCACTACAATGCAAAGATTCCAAACAGAGGTGACGTGTTCTGTTTCAGAAATTGTTCAAAGAAAACAGTGTTTTCCATCCAAATCTCTGCTTTGTCTCTTCCACAGTCCATTTTTTAAAATTTTTCTGGCCACCTTTCCATCTTGGCGCTTACCCAAATCTGGTTGTTTCTGCCATGGAGTATAGCTCACCACCATTGTTGTATTTTAAGTTTATTTTGAAAAACGAAAATAAACTGGGGGCTCAGGTATTTTGTACAAGGTCACCATATATAAAATTAGTCTTCGTTGAAGATTTAGTATTTAATGAATCAGAAAATTAGGCACCTTAAGATACATTGGCTGAGTAGAAGATGCATAACAACCATTGTGAAACACCTATTCATTTCCCGAGTAATAAGACAAAATCCTACTAACTACGTCTTAAGGCTACAATGAGAGGTTTTAGCTCTTGCTGTTTTCCCCCTATTGAAAAATCAGATTTGTTTTATAATCAGTTCCAGGCTACATGTGGTTAAGTCTCCCCCTCCATCCCTTCAATTCTCCTTCAAAGGGAAAATTAGATCAAAGTTTTATCATTTCCTTGTGTTTCAGAGTAACACTTGCCAGGATTAATAGGCCTCAATTTTTCAGAAATATTAAAATTTGCTCTCTATTGTCAGGACAATAAATCTTTTACCCTGCAAGAATGTTCTGCTCTGGGAATGACCAAGCGATTACTGACCCCAATTACGCAATTATGCCTTTGAAATAATACTGTTTGATATAAAAGAATTACTTTCCTCATATGAAAATATCACAATGCTCTTGCAAGCCAAGAGATTATTAATAATGCATCTACACAGGCCCCATTGTCTGTTAATAATGAAAGTTTATTGAAGCTTAATACTTCACGAAGTCTGATAATCCTATATGATGCTAATGTATACTGACAATTACAGTTGTTAACTGGTTTAAGGATTTTTTGCAGATTAATTGCCTTGCTCTTAACTAACTTATTGATTAAGCTACCAATTAAAATATTATGGCATATAGTGTAACGTATGGTTGAAGATATTTAATGAAGATTACAATACTTCTTGAATCTCACTTCTGCCAGTGCCTATTAGGCTGTTTTCTGGAAAGGCTGTAGCTCAGTGGCTGAGCATCTGCTTTGCATGCAGAAGGTGCCAGGCAGGGCTGGGAAAGAGTCCCTGTCTGAAATCCTAAAGCGAGAGATAAAGAGGGGACTTTGAGGGGGATGCTGAAGAGGCTAAGGACATGCTCAAAACAGTTGTAACTCTGAGGTAGAGTCACACAGGCAGGGTACCATATGATCAGATGACCTACCCAAATTGGAAGAGCTTGTGTGCTACACACATCTGGTACACACATTCTCCACCTGTCCTGTGTAGCAAGGATTGGGGTGTATCTTCCTGCTTGTTCTGTAATTCAGTTGGGAAGGACATCCAGCTGTGGAGCCACTGAGTGATGCTATCATCCACATACCAGTCACTTTGTTGTGCATGGAAACCTCTCGACAAAGGTTCTGGATGCCGTTTTTAAAAAGCAAGAAACCAAGTATGAAAGAAGAAGACTGGGATGATAGACAACTGTAACAGCTCCTTCCTTGTGAGGTTACTTGAGTCTAATAATAATAAATAATAATTTATTTATTTATACCCTGCCCATCTGGCTGGGCTTCCCCAGCTACTCTGGGCAGCTTCCAACAAAATATTAAAATACAGTAATGCATCAAACATTAAAAGCTTCCCTAAAGAAGAGCTGCCTTCAGATGTCTTCTAAAAGTCTGGTAGTTGTTGTTCTCTTTGACATCTGGTGGGAGGGCATTCCACAGGGCGGGGGCCACTACCGAGAAGGCCCTCTGCCTAGTTCCCTGTATACATGATTTTTGTATGCTGAATACAAAAAAAGAAAAAGAAAAATTGTCTGCCCCTTTGTCTGTCCCATCTCCAGGTGGAAAGATTTGTCTTGGCTCCATACCTGCAAAACCTATTAAAAAAGAAAAGTTTAACAGAACATCATACAGAGAAGGGGAGGCAACAACCTTTACAAACATACAGTATACGTGTATATGCAAGTCCTGGGCTCTGTGGTTTAACCCACAATGCCACCCATGTCCCAGGTGTGTGTGTGTAAATCTATGTATATTTAGCCATGTACATATTTACTATGAATAATCAGTGCATAGGGAAACAACAACGGCAACAGCAAAAAAAGAGAGTATAAGCATGCGAAACCATTATTTAAACTATTTCCAGCAAGCTTTGTAGGTATCTTAGAATCATAGAACTGCAGAGTTGGTATCCCCAAGGGTCATCTAGTCCAAACTTCTGCAATGCAGGAATCCTGCTCACAGCCAACCATGGGTGGGCTCAAACCATCAAGCTTCTGGTTAGCAGCCAGGCACACTGGTCCACTGCCCCACAGAGATCTGTTTCCAGCAAGTTATGTAGGTAAATATCCACTAGTGTCTTATTGCACAAGTACATCACAAAAGAGCTTAACTTTTCAAGAACTGAGTTGTCTGCCTTTCTTCCCTCTCGCTATATTGGCTAATTTTATCCCATTCTGTTATTATCTAATCTTCTAATGTAGAAATTGGTGATCTCCCACCCCCCCACCCCCCAGTTTGTATTGTTGCCCACTAGCAAGTTTTATCAATTCCACATTTACTCCCATGTTTTTACCTGGTTTCTAAATGAACATAAAGTTGGGACAAGATGTGCTTCAGCGGAAACCCTGAGGAACACGGAAGGATCCGAATTCAACAAATTAAATGAATCTATGCAGCTTCACAACAGTTGCATCAGAAACCGAGTGCAATCCACCCTTCTACACTGGTCAAAGCCTTAAGAAATGTACCACACATTGAGCGCCATATTCCCAAGAAGTAGTCTACTGGCATTAGCAGCGCAGCTCCTATCTGTGATTTCTTGGGAGTCCATTAATATTGCATATGCATACAAACAAACTCTATGAATAGTTAATATGAGTTAAGACATAGACCCAAAGGATTTTAATAATTACATTTGCTTTGCATAACCCTCTAGGATGTGAAAAAGTATGAACCTCCAAATGTACACCTGATGCAAAAAAAATAATAATAAAAATGTTCGTGCCTGCAGCCTCAAACTTATAGGATGTTAAAGATATATCTCTACAACTTTATGGGATGTTAATTATAGACTAGAAAACAGGGGAAATAACCGAGAGTTGTAGCAAAGTTTCTTCCTTCTCTACTCTACTACATTACAACTGCACCCCTTACAATTTCATCTCATATTTTAAAAATATTTCAGGTCTGAGTCAGACCATTGGCTCGCCCATCTTAGTATTGTCTACACTGGTGGGCAGTGGCTCGCCAGGGATTCAGACAGGGACATTGCCAGCCTTTACCTGGTGATGTCAGGGATCAAACCTGGGACCTTCTGAAGGTAAAGCAAATGCTATACCATTGAGCTACAGGCCTTCCCTCTTTACCCTGTCTTTCTTCAGTTCAAGGAGCTTACAATGTTGTTGTTTAGTCATTTAGTCGTGTCTGACTTTTCATGACCCCATGGACCAGAGCACACCAGGCACTCCTGTCTTCCACTGCCTCCCACAGTTTGGTCAAACTCATGCTGGTAGCTTCGCGAACACTATCCAACCATCTCGTCCTCTGTCGTCCCCTTCTCCTTGTGCCCTCCATCTTTCCCAACATCAGGGTCTTTTCCAGGGAGTCTTCTCATCTCATGAGGTGGCCAAAGTATTGGAGCCTCAGCTTCACGATCTGTCCTTCCAGTGAGCGCTCAGGGCTGATTTCCTTAAGAATGGATGCGCTTGATCTTCTTGCAGTCCATGGGACTCTCAAGAGTCTCCTCCAGCAGCATAATTCAAAAGCATCAATTCTTCGGCGATGAGCCTTCTTTATGGTCCAGCTTTCACTTCCATACATAACTATTGGGAAAACCATAGCTTTAACTATACGGAGAAGCATTACAAGGAAAGGCCCAACAGTGAAACAATAACCAGTCATTTTTGACACAGCAAATCCATAACAACATTGGACTTGGGTTCCAATGGGATTGTAATTAATCTCAGTGGGAACTGCTTTCAAGTAACTTGGTCTGGATTGAACCCAAGGACATTCAGGCTCTTGTTTTTCAGATCAGTGGAACTGTCCATCATAAACTTGTCCTGTTGGGTAGAACTCAGCTGCAGGTCTTAGCTCTGTTTAACCAGAAGAAACATAACTAGTTGTGAAACTGCTTCCCATGCAAGTCTTCTACTGAGAAGTGCTGATAAGAAATTTCCAGAAAGCAAACATTTAGACACATGAGTAGTACTTTCCAAATAATCTGATTTCACTAGTGCAGAGCAAATACAAGAGGCACTTAAAGCTGACCAGAACGTCTAGCTGAATGAGTGAGAGCTAGAAGACTATTAACAGAAACCATGTTAATGTCCTTTGGTGTTCTGCCTATGAATTATGGCCCTTGTGAACGAGACCATGCATAACAATGCTCCCGATATAGCACATTTTATGAAAGTATTTGACAATATTTGCTAGGAGCTCAACATCATCCTGCCAAAAGTGCCTCAAACTCAGCCGCCTCCCCTCCCTGCTTAAAAAAAACCAACTACACAATTATTCTGGATGATAATAATAATAAGTGCTGTCACTTGTAACGAAAGTAGAATCAAGATGGCTCATGTTCGCTACCCGCAAGCCGCGCACAATGCAACGAACAAGCTGCAACCCAAGAATTATTTACAGAGATGGTTCTGCAAACAGTTTCAAAATGCCAAATAAATTTCACAGGCTCACGAGCTGCTTGTGGAGAATTTCTGACAAGGAGAAGCAGCAAAATTAATCAAATAAATTATTCAGAATGGATGAGTCTCTCAGCTCTAATTAAAACCCTATGAGATGTAAATAATAAATGCCCTCAAAAACCTTACAACCAAAGGGTTTTGCTGTGTCTGTACTATGTGCTTTTTCTTCCTGAAACAAAGAAAGCAAAGTAGACATGGGGTGCTAATGGACCTAGAGAGCAGGGGGCGGGGGGAGAAGAGAAAAGCAAGCAGAACAGGGAAACCTGACTTTACTTTACTTTAAAAAAAAAAAAATACTCCTCAAATATTATTTTAGCTATCATATGGCTGAAAGAACTGGAAAATTGCCAAATCATTTGATAGAAAACTAGATGCCTGTGAAAACAAGTGTCTATGACAGATTCCGGGCTTTGAATGAAAAGACTGCATCACTGGTGGAGAGTGAACCAAAGTCACCTACTAGCAAACTGCTTAAAAAAATTAAAAGGGAGTATCACTTCTTGATTCATGGCTAAGATGTGTGTTTACTTGCATAGGACAGAGGGGAGTATATCTCCAAAGCATCTGCATCTCATCTACCCAAATTGGTCTCTGGATCTTACGTTAGAAACATAAGGGGAAGTGCAAGGCATTTCCTCCTCCTCTCCTTCTTCTTCTTCTTCTTCTTCTTCTTCATCATCATCATGCCCTTAGATGGAATCCTGATCACAAGGCCAGCCCTACCATTAGTTAGAGTGAGGTGGCCACCTCAGACACCAGAGGTTCAATGAGAGTGCTGAGTGGTGGTGAGGCATTAGGAGAGTAGTGCTGTGTGTGCCATGTGACCTTTCCTACCCCATCCTGATGTGGAGGATGCTGTCCTATTGCTAGTGAAGTGAAATTCAGCTGCCACTCTAGATGTCTTTTATGTTGCGGATATATTAATATTGCACAGTTTGAAGAAACTGGTAGCACAAGAACTGACTCCTTTTGGAAGAAAACAGACCCATAAAAATATTATTCAAAGTTTTACTGGCAGAACTTTCTTCAAAACATAACATGAAAGATACATCCCAAATTTCCATACGATGTCTTGGGCTGTCCAGCACAGGCTCAGCATCTTAGAAAATATGAAATAATCCAAACATACCTAGAAGCAGAGGTCTTTCTCTCCCCACAGCCTGCATTCCAGCCTCCATTGGCCTTAGGCTGTTTCCTCTCCCTTCAGTCGAGCTTCATTTACATCCACACTCCATGGAGTTTGGGTGACAAAAACTCAAAGGCAACTCCCTTCAAAATGCAGATTTGCAACCCAATACCTTCATCACATGATCTAAGACTACCAAACTCACATGTTAGCTACCAGAGAACAACAATGAGTTAGTTAATTATCTACTTAGCAAGAGCTCAAAGTGCTCTCCTTGGCTTTAATATAGCCCCATGGGAAAGCCCCATGTTAAACCTTTTCACCAGTACACATTTAGCCATATTACATTTCTGCGTCAATTAAACCATTAACATTTTGTACACACAGTCGGAGAAGGGACATCTTCTCCATTGCCTCAGGCGGTATGAAATGGTGGGCTCTCCTTGGTGGAAGTGAGTCCTCTTCCTTCGCCAAGGTAAGACTGATGAAAGGAGTGCAGTAGTCCAAGCAACAGTATGCAAAACTTCATCAGATGAAAAGCAAATATGCTTTCATATGTTTACCCAGGCTAAGCATTATATAGGTTCCTGGAGTTTTTGATCCACTATAAATCCCCCAATTTCCCCAGCTTTCTTCTTCTTAAGGTACAAACCTATGGATAGTAGTCACTGAAATCAGTGGGACTTACTTCCAAGTAAATATGGTTAGGGAAGGGTTTTTGAAAACTCATCCACCAATGTTGATGGAGGCTGCTGTCCATTATTTGCAGCTAGGCCATTTATGCAGTGAAGTTTTCCAAAAAACAAAATCCGCTGAAGGAAGGGCGGAAAAAAACTTCCTCCATATTCACATCCAGATTGTTGAGCTGTGATTTTAATATAACCGTATCTCAATATGCCTGATAACTCCCAAGAGGCATTCTGACCCCCTCCTGTCATCTCTCTGCTTCATACAGACGGTACCAAGTCAGTTAGAAAATTGGTTAGTATTTTTCCTGAGTTCCCTAGAGAACATTTGGCCCTTTGTATTCCCATTCATGAGTTTCCTCTCCGTGACTCTCCTCCCCCTTGCAGCTTGTGAGTCCTTTATCTGTCTCAAACCAATCACTCATTCCTTCCTCTTTTTCCTCTTGACAAAAAGAATCTGAATTTAATAAGAATGCATTGCAAAATATCAGTGCTAATCCCCTTCGCCTTCCTTCTCTTGCCCTCGGGGGAATGGTGCCAGGAGAGCTCTTGCTGTTTTTGCTGGCACAAAATCATATTTGACCCCGTGGAACCCTTCTGATCACATAACAGGTGTCTCCAGCTGACAAGATAAACATATTATCAATTATGTCTTCCCACAAGTTATGCAAGAGCCCATCTTCCTTCTGTTTGTTTCATCTCTTGACATGTGGATTGGAGAAAGGGGAGAAAAATCAATGCTGCTTGCTTTTCTCCAAACACTGTAAAAAGCCAAATGACAGATTTTTCACCTAAGCTATGAAATGCCATTCCTTGAAGCTACTCATTAATAGTTATGCAAGTGTGTTTTTACAGACCAGCACTAAGGGGGGAACTGTGGAGAAGAGACAGAATGGAGTTTAGTTCTGTGTAAACTTCTGCTGTAGGAAAAGTGAAAATGCATATTTTGTTGGTAATATCTAGAGATTATCACATGGAATACGGCAATGTGATGAACTCATATTTGGACAGAGTTCATTAGTCACAAGAATAGCTAAATGAGCAAATTCTACCACCAACTGGCTGTTCCGCATTTAATAGCTCAAGCGCACAACACTACGACTAGTTGGGGGAAGACTGGGCTAGTGATTATTGGCTAGTGGTAACAAGGAGATGAAATTTTTCACTGGTAGCATAGGAGAGGCCCCATCAGTATTAGCATTCTGTCAGCTCTCTGTCAGACACACCTGTTTAGATAAGCATTCCCAATCTCCTAACCTAGACCTCCTGTTTTAATTGTTTCAATTTCTGTTTTAACTGTTTTAACTTTTGCACTGTTTCAATGGGTTTGTTTGTTGCACATATTATAATTGATGGAATTGTTTTATTGTGATTAGTTTTGTGCGAAGCAGTGACATAGCAGCGCGTCCATGGGGAAAGCGCACATTACGTGGGCGGCCGAAGGGGAATGGTGCAACCTGTTGACTGAGAACGGCAACTGCTGCCCTGAACATGGGCCTCCTTTTCCTCACTGCCACCACCTACGCCTCCAGCTTTTCCCAGTCACCCTTTTAGCCACGGTTGCTTGCTTGCTTGCTTTCCCCACCCTCCATTTACCTTATCACAAGATGGGGAGCGGGGAGGGAGCCAGTACTGTGTACCATTGAGTACCGCCACAAAAAAGCACTGCTTCTTCTCATGATATGACATGTGCAAAGGGGAATCTGCAATGGTTGGAGACCCTGCAAAAAAGCACAGTCCCCTATTGCACTGATGAGTCTGCGTGGATCTTTGTGTGAACTGCTTTGAGGTTTGTTTGTTTACCATCAAACAGTATATAATTTTTTTAGAAAATACAGTGG